ACACCATTAATAAGTAACTTATACTGATAGAGAATGTTTTAAACAAGAAAATGCTATTTGTCATTTGATGCAACCTTTCATCTGCGCCGCTGGTTCGTTTATAACAGGTGAGCAATTAATGACATCATTGCGGCGAAACGATAGACATTCTTCTATAAAATAAAGTTTAATCTAAATATTTCCAGAAGTAACTATTTTATTTTTAAAAATTTACTCACATGATTATTTCCTATCCACACCTGAATCACGTAGAACCCTCCTTTCATTTTTATCTCATTAGTTGTAGCATTTATGATACACAATAATTACCACTTGCATCATAAGTTTCACATTTCAGTTACGAAAATGAACATTGTAAAACAAATTTAAACATTTCAGACGTTCCAATTACAAGGATAATAACAAGACATTATTACACAGAAAATTGTTAGTTCGTAGTTAAACACACTTATTTAATTTTATTTAGTTGATGGCAATTCCTAACGTAATCAATAGGTATATTACTGACCATTTTCTGTATTTTTATTTATGCTCTCTCCTCAAATTATTTTATAAGGTGCATCCGTGATCATATGTTCGCTATTTGTTTCCCAACGTAATTATCTAATTTGAGCCACAATTTGTACTTATCTGTCCTCATAAAGATTTGATCTTTCTGGTGCTTAATTTAAGAACACCTATATATTATTATTTGTATTATTGTAATTTTAACACTTTGACACAAAGATATTTTCAGTTTTTTCTCAAAATAAAAAATATGTCGGGCAAACAATTTTTATACGCTCTAAACGGTGAATTTATTTCAACCTGAGTTTCGATAATTGGCTCACCCTTTCAGCAAATCCCATTCACTGCTATATCGAACGCATAATTCCATCGCTACGAAACGGTCGGCCTATATGTAGAACATAATAAAATGTAAATGAACGTAACCGTTAAATTTTGATTGCTTTTTTCTCCAAAGGACGATAAAAACAACTCTAATTCAGCAAATTTTCACGTACGTCGTTACGAAATTCGTATAATTGAGACGATCCCGGTCCCCTTTGCCTTGTAAGTCCGCATTAAAGAATATACAGTGTGTCCACAAAATATAGGATACATGCAATACATAAGCGGAGTAATTTGAAAATTTTTGATTGACGATTTGAACACATTTTTAGTTGCCACTTTCACAGGTATGACGTCACCAATTACTTGGGAGGAACAATACAACAGTAGTGAATGGAAGCGGAAAATGACGCACTGAAACCCATTTTTAAGCACTCTTGTAAAATATGTAATAAAAAATAAGGTGGCCATTAAAATAAATATATAACTGACGCCAAGGTTAAAATTTTCGCAAATGTTGGTGGAATGCAGTCCGTTTAAAAAATAACTTGACGCAGCTAAACATTTTTATCAAATTTTATGACGTCTGGCGTTTCGGTCCAAAGACATGCGATTAAAAAACATCGAACAGTTCCAATAAAGAATTTTTCTTTAAACGTAGGTCTTTGTGTGATCGTCCATTCTCGAGTTTTTCATTGAAGATCTTCCACGTTCTATGGGCGCACTGCGTGCGGTCTGCGGGATGCACCGTAACAGCTGAGTCAATTTGGCGGCGAAAGCTCCCACATTATCCGTGAAATCTTGACAGATAATGAGCGTAATGGCCCACTATCGATCCGGTTGTTCGAAGCCCGAACGGAGATTGCCAACGAAACGCTTGACGGGATTTGTTAAAATTTTTAATCAGCCATTGCGAAAGCTCCCGCGAAAAAAGGAAACATCAAAGCGCAGAGGGTGTAAAGCTCGTCGGCGAAATTACACAGCCGACATTGCGTGTGGGTTCCAGTTAACAATTTCAGAAAAAAACTTGAATAATAAAAAAAAGCACGCGTAATTCTGACAGAAGCCAGTTAATTGGGTTCGAAACGGACGTGGGAGGAAAGAAAAACGCCTTGCGTGCTTTGGAATAAATAACTTCGCGATGATTGGCCATTAGTTTTATTCGCTTTTAATTATAATAAAAAGCTCAAGCTGGCTTCGTGCGTGGCCCGATGCGATTGTGTTTATTGGAGAGCGTATTGTGTTTGCTGATATTATTTGGAAAAGTCGGCTGATAAATCGAGTTTGAGGAGGTTTAAAGCCGAATTGTTGGGGCGGTGAACGTAATCACTTGATGGGATGCTAAGAGGTAGCGTTTGTCTTTTAAACTGTTGGAATAGAAGAAAGGAAAATACAGAAAGTCATTGCAAGAAATACAGTGCAGTAAATGAGTTTTCGTGCAAAACAGTGAGATACAGGCAAAGTGAAAAATGCAGTAGCGTAAAGACCCTTTCACCTAATGCGAGATGTTTTTCAATACACTGCACTTTTTCGGTTCAGGACTTGTTATTATTATTTCGCGCTGTAATGAAAGAGTAAAATTTACAATGTTTTTAACATAAGTGGTAAAAGTATGTTGAAGTGAGCATCCACAAGAAACATGTCAAGAAGAATCATAAACTTGGTATTTTGAAAACAAGAATTTTTTAATCATATGGCATAAAATTTATGTCCGCTAGTGTAACAAAATTTCCCGATAAGCGTAATTTGAAAATTCCTTAACAACAATGGTCGAAACTTTATTGCTACGAACTGTTTATCGGTTGATAAAAAAAACTGACGTTGTTAATTAAGTTTTTATAGGGACGGATATTTCACCCATTGTTAAAAAGCAATTTATACTTTCAGTTCTATAATTTAAATAAAGCCATTAAAATCTGAAGAAAAGTTACTATTAATTTTACACAATGTACTAATCTGATCATTGTTAAGTACAAATTCATTATCTGTAGATACCGTAAAATATTATTGCCGTGAAGTAGTATGATGAGATTATGCGTGTAGACTGTCAGATATTAAATAATCAGAACCAACATGGAACAGGTTGATAATAGTTTTATAAATAATCAAAAACAAATAATTTTAGTATTGTTGACAGGTTGTGAGTTGGCGTTTTCACAAAAATTATTTTTTGTTATCAATCACACGTCACGTTTTCGTCTCAGTAATAAATAGAAAGTGATTAGAACTGTCATCACACTTTTTTTGTGCTCCTTTAATATTTCAAAATAATCTTAGACGACTCGTACTTGAACGAAGTTCATATTGTTCGTTCCGCTATGAGTTGGCAAGACCCGTACGACGCCTATGGGTTCTAGTATATACCGCGACGATGACTCATTGTCCGTGACGGCGGCCGGAGAAGAGCCTGGAAGCGGATGTCGCGACGGCTGTTCGAGAATAAGCCTAGAAGCGGTAACGGAGACCTTAGAGAAGGACCGCGCGGCTGTTTAAATGGGAACCACCGTCGAGAGCAGTTAGACAACGAGAGCTGAATTCAGTTAACAAGTCGAGTCCAACGCGTGTCGAGAAAACCCAGCGAAGTTGAGCCGGAATTATTTTGTACATAATAGTCGTGTGATTAGACGTGTAAATTTGAGCTAGTAAGAAAAAATGTTGATTTTAACCCACGCCGATTTTTCAATCACCGATCAACGTAACAGTACATTTTATGTTCGCGGCGCTATTGTCAGTTATCAAAAAGCTACCGATTTGATTGATATATGAATCGTGTTAAAATGTGACTTTTATATATAAAAATTTCATAGTAAATCGAATTATTTCTTGGAGTTTCATAATTTTACAATTGCGTTTTTTCTATTTTTATCACGTCATATTTCTGAAACTATTCAAAATTTTGTCGTAATTTTTTGACTGTAGTATCACCAAATACTACTAATTCCAACACTGTAATTTAAACACAACAATAGACACCAACATTTTAAGTCGGCGTAATTATAAATACTACATACATACACGCAATGTATAATAAAGAATTAAAAATTAAAAAATAAAGCAACAGGTTATTCCCGTGTATAATTTAATATTAATGAATAAATGATGTCCAGTGGTAACAATGACGACCTCGTGCTCTCTATTGTTGTTAAAGTTATCATTTAAATTATAGATTTACATAATTCATGTCACTTGGGACATGCAATTCCGGGTAGTGGAAATTAGAAATATAAATAACAAATAAATCCGATCAATAAAAATGACATTACTACAAAAGTTTAGTTCTAAAGGGGGTCTTAGATACGAAAAACAGCCCAAAACCTCCGGTTACGCCACTGCATTAACAAAGTTTAATTACTAATTGAGGATCTAACTTTGTAGCATTGTACAAGTAACTCTCTTAACTCCATCAATTGTAAACTTATGTCTGTGAAAGTCTTCACTCCGCATCGTTTCAGTGAACACGAAGCCCTTAATTGTACAAATTTGCCAAAACCGCTTATTAGAATAATCCAACTACTTTAAACGTTTTACATATTATTGTCTACATATTCCAAAGTTTCTCTCTTTCATGAAACCGCAACGTAATTGCGTCAATTTCTTTTTCAAATAAAACTCCGAAGTAATTTTCACACCACCCTTACAGCTTGCATGCGACACCAATACGTAAATTTCCAGGTACTATACTATAAATACAAAATGTTTTATTTTTAAACCCATATTTTATAATAACAAATTACCCATTTGTAAACGGAAATGTCACATGTTAATATTTTTCCGTACCGAAGTAGCACACGTGGATATGATTAATGCGAGGCATAAATAAAAAGTTTTTTTCGTAACTACGGTATTCAACTTTTTAATAAGATAACAGAAATTATGTGAAAGATGTCAGATAAAACGGAATCGATGTACAAATATAGATATGTAAACACAGTTATCATACGAAGATAGTAATCAATGTATTTTTAAATAACATCCAACCCACACGCGACCATTTTCTTCGTTCCACACAATATGGAAAACCTAAACGCCTATTTTACATCTCTAATTGTACAGCTCGCGTCGACAAAAGAGTGAGTCAAAGTTGGCTCCGTTTCTAAAAGCTCGCTCATAAAAATTTCCAACGACATTTTTTCGATCGCCCTGTATATCTATTAACCCCATCCACTTACCGTGGTCTCGGGTCGCTGCCGAGTATCCTGAACGAGCACATCCCTATTTTTCTGTCTGCAAGCATTCTGCCTCTTCAGCTTGGAGCAACCGCTTCCGGCACTTCGAAAGCTCCCCTCTGAACTCTGCCGAAACCTTCCATCTTCGGAACTGATGCTCTGCGGTCTCCGTCGACTGGAAAAGAGAACAAATTGGGTTAAATTAATCCGAGATGAAGCGTGGACATCGAACACGATTTTAACGACGCGGCTGTCCTAGCTCAATTTTTCATCGAAAATGGTGGATGCGCCAGGTCAGTTGTTCATGATTGATTTCGATTTTCGCCAGCAGGCATCAATCATTAACTGTCCGGTTAGGAAAATTGTCAAAATTTTCGACGCCGAGATTCGACAGATCTGCACGCTTTGGGGTCGCAAATTGTCGGCGTTATTGATTAAAAAAGCAAAAATGCGAAAATTGTTCAACGATATCGAGATAACACGACGAATAACGGTCGCGGCGGTTTTATGAAAGGGGTAATTGACGGTGAGGGTTAGCAATCTGCAAGATAAATAAACAGTTTGGAAGATATAACTCGAATTTGAGAGAGTCGTTACGCTGTTATTGTTGAGAATTAATTAAAGATTTTATTCTCGTGGCGTAAAAGGCGGTTTATTCGCTTGTAAAAGCGATTTTAGGAGCGTGGGATGTCTTAAATTATTATTAGATTGCTGTTTCGATAAAATGAAACGTTGGCCATATGTTGCAAGTTGGGTTCGAAATTATTCTGCGAAAAAATGAGTCGAGATAAATGGTGGCGCAGTGGCATTATAGTCGAGATTGCATCATAAAAGGATGATGTATTCAGTTGTACGATATAGTTATCAAATTTATACGCTCTTGCGAATTAATTCAATTGTAATTAAATGAATTCGGAACAAAGGCATGCAGTATAAATGAGATTACTGCAGTCAATATTTTTTCGATAGATTGTTATGATAATCACAATTTTATTTTTAAAAAACCACGTGCGGTGGGAAATGAATAAATTTGTTCCAGTTATAACCAATAATTGTGAATTTAATAATATAATTAAATCGTTATTTTTAATATCTGTTTCATGGCAAAAGTAGGTCATTGGGCATATAGTTTGACGTATATGACGATTTAAAAAATAATTACTTACGGTTTCTCACTCCTTATAGCATAAGTTTTCATATAATTTGAGACCCTATACATAACGTGCTATAAAACAAATGTCCTGTTATTTCGTTTCTTTGAAAGTGCTTATGTGTTTTTTCTCCGATTTTTTTTCTTAGATATTGACTTCGAAAATATTTCAAAGGACGACGAAAGTGATTTATACTTCTGAGCGAAGTATAAAAACCTTCTTGGCAAATCGACGGGAAATCGCGAATTTATCAAATCAACTGTACAGATGGCAGTAAAAACATAGGGGACAAACAAGGTCAATCATCACAAAGTTCAAAGATCATTCGTCTAATTTTTGGTGGGTTGGAAAACTACGAAGTGGGTAAAAAATGGCGACAGAACTGATCCAGTTGCTTCAAAATTAGATGGAGTGTTTAACAATGTTTAAAAATAACAATAGTGTGTTTAACGCCAATGCTGGTCGCACTCAGAAAGTGGGGGAAGTCGACGTGACGTCTTAATAATACAATTCGTATTAATAGCGAATTCATGCGTTCTTATAACCATGTCAAAATTGTACTAGCCAGTAAATTCATTTTTCTACAAACTCCATCCCCTAATGTTGCTCCTTCCTAACTCCCGTTAGTGAAATTAATTACCATTTTCCCAAATAATTTTCCTGCAAATAAATAAAAATTCGCTTTGGGCCCCTCGCGCTAACGCGCCGCCTTCAACACCCACGTTAATTGATTTTCCACCCCAATTAACAGATCCACCATTCCAAAATGATTTTTTCGGATGTTTTCCCACTTTCTATTTAGTTAACGAGGCATTTAGGGATGAAAAATTATCAGTCGTGCTGAGAATTTCATTCATTTCGGTGGTGGTAACGTCATTTCTTCTGATTTGTTTTAAATGGAAAAGGTGAAAGGCGCGAAGTGATCGATGATTTTAATTTCTCGCCTTTCAAATTTTGGTCTCTGCGCCGTCAGATAGCGAAAATTTTTCTCTGGAAGGACGCGAACTTCGGGATTAATCCTTAAAGTAAGGCGCTCGTGCGATTTACAAAGAGCAACTTTCGTGTAAACAATGGGGGGATTTTCTAGTTGCGATTTCGCGATGTAATGATGAAATTTTACGTGACTAGGGTTCGAGATGAGTTTACGGCTAAAAATCGAAGCGGACGACGCAGATAAAAGTAAATTGCATGCACTACAAGCGTACTTGTTTTGATTTTTCGTTTTTAACTTGAAATGCCGTCTCGTTATCGTTGAATAAAAACGTCAACTACAACGATTTAGCGGTGATTGCTTGAATTTTAAATTTTTCTAGAAGAAACTATGTTAAAAGGAGGGGTGAGTTTAAGCGTAGAGCGCGATTATTTCCGGCATAGTTTTCGCGATTTTACCATTATCCCGTAAAAAGTCTAATCTGCACAGGGGCGGCAATAAAACGACCCGTTATTAAATCTAAAAAACCATTAAAATGTAAATGAGCTGTGTACTTTGCGTAGTGTAATTTCTACTTAAAGGGACGTAACACTTTGCACCTGACATTTAATTAAGAAATATGGCCCTCAAAATACTGTAAACTTGCTGATAACAAATAATTAAAAGTGTACCTCCGGCTACCGCGACACGCCATCGCCGACTAGCGGCAATTATGAAGTAATTAAATGTTTAGTTTTACGGTGCCGACACACGAGGAACTTTAGCTTAACTTTTTTAAAATATTATTTATTACATCGTGCACTAAAGATAATTGTTTTCTAAAATTAAGCGGGGACCTTGGGACGATTATTATCCCTAAGGCTTTCTAATTAGCTGCGATTTTTGCCAGGATTATTTATGGGACACTGGATTCGCGATTCTGCGAGGATTTTAGCTTGATTATTAATTAACTTAGGTATCGCAAATACGAAAAGAAATGGCGATTGTAATCGAACACAAGATAATTCGCTGATTATCATAGCTGTCGGGTTCGTATCTCGATTGTAACTGATAACCAGAGTGTTTCAGTCAAGGTCGAGGAAAAAGTAATTGTTGGATCAGTTTTATGGTCGACGGCACTATCATCCGTAACATTGGGATTTACGTTTAATCCTTCTAAGTAATATAAATCGTTTTCAATTTTGTTCGAGCATAAAGTGACCATTATGAAATTATAAAAGGGAAAACTTAATTTGCTACGGCAATAAAAGCAACGAGTCAGATACAAATTGTTTCAAAAACAGAGAATCAATACTATCTATATTTTAAAACTGCTAACAAAAAAGACGTTTTCGTTCGTCAGATATATTTTTCAGACAGGTCTGAGTTCAATGAGATGAACGTTTTTCAATTAACTCAATATCGTGGATTTACTCGTACACTGTAATTAATATACTTGGTTTTTAATTAGTCATTACTTTGTATCTTAAGGCTATACTGTTTAAAGGCAATAATAAGAAATTAATAGTCCAATTAATGATGTTTACTTCAAGCACAATTTTTGCAATATTTTACATAAATAAGCAGACTGGCACGAAGATCGCGCAAATTACTCCAACAGTTCCTGTAAATGTGACGAGAAATTATTATTATTTTGTGTGAAGAAAGTGTGCACAATTCCCGTGCTACTGTCCACTAAGTTATGCAGCTTGACATAAAATATTCTAATTTTATGATACTCCTGAGTATCTAAAGAATAATTTATAATGGCGTAAATATTCTTCGCAGAATATTACGTGGATCATGCAACAATGTTTACATAGGATTAAATAGTTTTGGTGCAGAAAATTATTAAAGAGATAATTGCAAACAAAATAACAACAATAAAACTATAACTTAAGAAACGACCAGGTGAAAGACGCTATCAATTACAGTTTTATTTTTCTGTTTCGTTTTTCTTAAACCACCTCACATCATATCAAAATGACGCTGAAAGTGTTTCAAGTTTTACGATATCATAATTCATATTCATATCAATGATTTACATCGCAACGTCACAAAAACAGTTTTTTGTAATTTTAATTATCAGATAAAATGTCGTTGACGTTGTCAAATCAGTTCCGAAATCTAATCAGTTGTTTATGTAACAATTCAAAGTGCATAGCAAAAGTTCCACTTTAAGTGTCGACTCATTCACACAGGCAGTCTTATACTGTAACAAAATATTATCACACTTATAATTAATACTTACAATTAAAAGTTTTTTTTTTTAGTAAAATTTTCACAAAATGTGTTAAAAAATGGGCAGCAATAAAGATTCAAAGAAACTTTTTCAAAGTATAACTTAAACTGTGGTTTAATGACTACTGAGAGAAACATAAATCATAAAAGTAAATTTGACAGACCATTATTTTTGTCTACATACATTTGCAATTTATTTTAAGATTTAAGTGATCCGTTTAGTTCCACCTTCCCTTACTAAATGAGCACAAGGATATATGAGTAAGCAGATCTTAAAAAATGCATGTTTACTTATTTCAAACAGATATACACAGGCTTCTCGAAAAAAAGAGACCGAAAAAAATACCGACAGTTTAATATTATTAGACAATTAGTGTTTTACTATTATTGATCTATTAATCTTACATAAATTATTATCAAGTTTTTGTCATTCCGCTTCTATTCGTGTTAAATTTTGATTTTTATATATTAAAATTTCATAGAAAATCGAATTATTTCTTAAATTGTCATTATTTTAAAATTTCGCTTTTTGGTTCTTTATCACGTCATATTTCAACTATTCAAAATTTTGTCTTCGTTTTTTAACTGTAATATAACCAAACAATACTGATTCTAATAATGTAATCATCCCCACCAACAATTTGATGACGTTATTTCAACGAATTGTATTGTAAAATTATTCGAATGTTATACAAAAATATACTCCTATACTTGTAGTATATGAATTCGTTTTTAGTTTTTTCGTTAAATATTAAAATTTTCGCAAAAACGTCTGCAAGGTATAATAACGTTATATTGCCAACACAAGTTCTAATGGCGCAGTGGTTAAGTCGGGAACGACGAGATCTGCGTGAAGCCGTGCGACATGCGGCAGTAGGTTCGATGCCGAACTTGGCCGTTTATTTTTTTTTCTCGGGTTGGTAATAATACTACACTTGTTTTGTGCGGTGACTAGTATTATCCAGGTTGATGACGTCATTACGATTTTTTTATTGGTCAAATTAAGAACGAGTCACCCCATTTTCTCGAAAATGTGAAAAACACGTCTTTATTAAAATAATGATAAAATAAGAATTATAATATTCAGAACATTTTGTTCGATCGTGAAGTGAATTCATTAATAATTTTAGTCCTGTCTTTTGAGAAGACAAACTCATTCAAATCAAAGTAATTTCTACGTGATATTCTTTCGATGTATAAACATAAATAAACACTTGAGCTTCAGATTGTTATTACCTAGTGCTGAGGGACATTTTATCACGTTAGTTATGTGCTTTAAATATATTTTACATTGTTCGTACAGCGCAAAGGCTGCAGGGGTGTTATTTATGCCGCTCGTTTTTACTTTACAGCGGTCATCACAAAACGAAAATCGTAAAATTAAATTTTATAATTTTTAAAGAGCTGGATATGACGTATAATACTTATAGTCTTCGACCAGTTTTTATTGATCAAATTAAGAACCATTTCTAGAAAATGTGAGAACAACTACGTTTTTATTTAATTGTAATCAAATAAGAATAATAATAATCATATTCAAAACATTTTCTTCAATTGTGGTTTAATTAATAATTAACTAAAACGCATTCTAATTAAACAAATTTCTACGTAACATTCTTTCCTTGTATAAACATAAACAATCGAAGTTAAGCATGTACACTGATGATAACTCACTCTTTTCCGTTGGTTATATTTCATATTGTCCGTATGTCTGTGGCAGCGCAGGTGGTTCGAGGTGTCATTTACACCACTGGTTTTTAATATAAGCATACAAGTTATCAGAAAACAAAATTTTTTTATAATTGTTCAAAGAAGCAGAATTTGTTGAACTGTACTTTAAGAGCGAAAGAAGTTCTGTCGAACCTTTGACCAATTTTTTTAAGAATGTGAAACCTTCTCGGGGGTCCCAACTGTGTTTTTTTTAACCAGGCGAGACCTTCTCAGGGGCTCCAAATGTCTTTTTTTAATGTGAAACCTTCTCGGAGGTCCCAATGTCTCTTTTAAAAATGTAAAACGTTTCCGGGGGCGCCAAATGTTTTTTAGAATATCAAATCTTCTCGAGGGTCCCAACTGTCTTTTTTAAAACTGTATAACCTACTCGAGGGCCCCAAATGTCTTTTCTTAAGAATGTGAAACCTTCTCGGGACTGCTAACTGTCTTTTTTAAGAATGTGAAACCTTCTGGGGGGGTCCCAAATGTCTTTTTTTTTTATGTGAAACCTTCTCGGGGGTTCCAACTGTTTTTTTTTAATGTAAAACTTTCTCTGGGGCGCCAAATGTATATTTTTAGGATGTCAAATCTTCTCGGAGGTCACCACTGTCCTTTTTTTAAAGAAGGCGAAACCTTCTCGTAAAGGTTATTACGAAAACGTAAACTTCCGCTAAATCAAATTTTATAATTTTTCAGAGAAGCAGTATTTGTTGGACTGTACTTCAGAAGCGAGGGAAGTTCGGTCGAAATATCTTTCGACCAATTTTTGTTACTTGCACAAAAGGTCTATTGACATTTTGAACATGCCAGTTTTTTTTCTTACTGAAGATTTTAAAAAACTTTATGATAAGTTTTGCAAGATTCAGCTATCTACTTCTTCAGAAATCGATAGATTTTTGATAACTGATAAGACCGCCGCAAATTTTCACCTATAAAATACATTGCTTACCGGTTTTGTTCGCTGCCAACTCGATGTGGAACCAACAATAGAACTAATTTGTTCTGACAGCGATCAGAGTGCTGAATCAAGAAAAGCACGCTGAAAAATGTTTTGTAATAACATTTCTGTCCAGTGTGCGAAAGCGATTATGAAAGCAAAGCGTACCTGTTGCATCTATTTAACAAATACAGGGGTCTCAGAAATAAGTACATTAATTTTAACCAGTAACAGAACTCGTGAAACGGAACAACTTTTTTATCTACCATTTTTTCGAAAACTCAAGTCGAATTTCGAATTTTCTCACCTATATATTCACGAGCCGTCTATGTTCACCTTAAATAATAACTTAAATAATAACAACCCTACAACAATGAAGAAGGTACCCTAGCAACCGTTTTGACACTGACAATCATTTTTATGTCAATGTTTTTACTAAACGTTGTCTCTTTAAAATTTGTTTGGCACAGATTTCTAATTTAAAAACGAAATGTGTTGAAATGGCTTTGTTTTCAAATCTGGAATGCACCGATATCGTTTTAACGTACGGTGAAGCTCGAGGAAACGGCACTCGCGCCCAATGAATTTTTTCAGAAAACCTCCCAAATCGTCGTCTGCCAAATGTGCGCAGTTTTAAGAACGTTGCAGCACTTTCGAGAGTACGGAACTTTTAAACCTGCACCTCAAGATCGGGGTAAGTTACGTAGTAATAGAATTGCTAATATTGAAGAGGCTGTTTTGAAGAGTGTCGAAGCTCGACCGGGCACTAGCACGTATCACTGTCTAGTGTGATGTATCGGAGAGTAGTATTTGGAGGATACTCAGAGAACAAATGTACCCCTTTCAGGACCAGAAAGTTCAATTATTGAAACTAACAGACTTACCACGTAGGCAAAACTTTTGTGAGTGTGTTAATAGAAAAATAAATGAACAAGTAAATTTTGTATCTCTTATACCATCAACTGATGAGGTCGGTTACACGAGGGAAGGTGTTCAACACCTACATTTGGGCCGATGAAATTCCGTACGCCATTAGGGAGCAGGATTTTCAATTTCTCTCTAAATGTTTGTCACATTGACAAGATTAGGAAAATACGTATCCTAGTAACTGTTTTTGACCATAAATTATTAATTATAATAATTATTAGTATCCATGGGTGACTGAGGATCCATGGGCGGGTAACCTTAATTGGGATATAACTTTAACAATTTTTTACTTGATAATTAAAAAATTCTTGACAAAACTTTACTAAAAAAAGTTGTTGAGTTCAATGAGCTCTATTATAACTGATTAAAATTAATGTACTTATTTCTGAGACACCCTGTATTAAAAAAAAAAAATCAGTCAAAAATTATTGTTGTCAATAATGTACTACTGACCATCTAAACGCACTATATGTAGAACTTCGTATTCATAAAGGTTTCATAAAGGTGTACTACACTCATGGTCGTACCTATAATTAGCCACATAATTAACCAACCTTGACTATCTCGTTGTCTAAAAACTCCCTCATACAATTTTTTGCCCCTCTACGACACGCTCAAAGTACACAATCTTGGTCAACGTACGTCCCTGTTGTGACATTCTGCCCTCACTTAAACTCTTTCAAACAAGGATCACGCTCGAAACATAACAATCCACTTAATTTATTAATCCCGACACAATTTCCACTTTTAAAGCAGTGCATTTCCGCATAAACTGTAATTTTCAGGTGTCTCCTACGAAATCCGAGGGGACTAACCAGTTGAGTGCTCTCGTGGTTCCCGGTTATACCCCAAAGATTGAATTATTCAAAACACTCTGCTCCCTCGACTCTTCAAAGCGCGACAAATTTAGCATCCTCGAGAAAAATACACATGGAAGACCTTGTCCATCACATTTTAAAAACAATTTTGACTTGATCGATCGCCGCGACGAGACGAATGTGTTGCCAGCCGGGGTGTTGTGGATAATTTCATGATTTCGACTAGACGTACCCGAGATTCTTAATGCGTAGCTAACACACGTTTTCCACATTTTTTACGAGATTTATATACAAAGTTTGAACTTCCGTAAACTGAATAAAACAAAAACTCGTTCTGTGGAGCTTTTTTAGTTATAAACCTTCTGAGAAATAAATATTACAAAACTTGACTCCCTTTCTTTAAAGCTTTTTGAAATACCGGATTTTAAAAATTTCATGTGGTTGTTTATTTTCTAGTTTCTATATTCGGGCCCCCGATGACTCCAAAATTCACGAATTCGTGGACAAGTAAGCTTTCTATGCAGAATGTACTCAAATTGTATTTCTCTCCCAGACAATAAAACGACAAACACAGAAGTGCAATAACGCACACTCCCGCTGCAGTTCCGTTTCATCGACGGCCCTTTTTCCCATTCGATTTTAATTTCACTCCTCATTAACCGTTCCTGAACCCGTTCTCTCTTCCTCGTCAAATGTCCACTATTTATGCCGCACAATTAACTCCTCCATGCATTACAAGTTGCAACATTTTCCACTGGGAAAATTAATTTTCTACCATACGTCACCGGATCAGACGAAATGTGTCGAGGACAGTTTTACGACTCCTTCCTGGACTAGGTGTCTGGATTTATGTTCCAGAAATGGCCTCGCTTGTCCGCATTATCCGACAAAGAGGCGAAAATCGTAAAGCCCGGCGTATTTATAGTTGTTTTAAAAGTAATTTATCCAGGCCGGTCCTTAATTGGTCCCGGAATTTACGGCGCCGTTTTTCTATCAGCGAAATGTTGCGAATCCGGAAACGGCATTTATCGCTTTGTATTGACATAATTTTTTCGTTTGTTATTTTGTATTTGCGAAGTCGACACTTTGCAGAATGCGAAAATGCAATATTAGTAATGTTTTATGTACTCACTATCTGTGGGCTGGGCTCGGGGAGTTTTCGGCATTTTCCTGGTGGAGATGATGCAGGGAGGGAAGCGACAGAGCGCCCGATTGTTCAGACAGACCTGGAAATTAACGCGTAATTTAATTTCGGGGAAGTCCGGGCGGGAATCTCACGTACATGCTTTTTCCTGGAAGACTTCGCTGGTGGAGGAAATGCCTCTGAAGTAGAGCGGGCGCCTGAATTCGGGGGACCTCTGAAACAAGAAGTATAGCAAATAGAATTTCAACTAATGCGGTATTACTTTTAATTTGATTTTGGACCGTTTTGGCGTGCGCTGAAACGCAAAGGAACTGGACCAATTAGGTGCATGGTATTTGCTCCCGCCTTTTAATTGTTTTACAAAGTTGTAGATACTAGTTAAGGTGCACAATTACAAAACACAACTATACTGTACAAAAATATAGTGTTTCTCTTTGCTGAATATTAGGACGAGCGAAATCTACATGGTATAGATTGGGGAATTAATCAATAAACAAAAAGATTCGAACAGATCGATTCAAGTTTTACTATATTCTAGGAGCAACATTGAAATTTTTTAGTTGGTGACGTCAAACTGAAGGCGTTATCAATATCTATGTGTAATGGAAACCTTGGTTTCTGTTTACACATTATTTAGAAATTGAAAAATACCAGGTTATAAAAACATACAATTTTCTTTATTTCAGTAACTTATTTTGTGACACGTTGCTCCGTGCTGGTACGTAATGGAAGTTTGGAAGTAATTTCTCCCATTTTAGTGTTTTTTTGTTGGATCTAGGAAATGGCGGCCTAGTTCGAGATAAGCCTCTCTCCAACCATTTCGCAAGTTCCAAACTTTGCAACCAGGAAACAAATCCCGTTTATCATTATCTTCGTCCAGTTTTTATAGTTATTAGTCCAAATTACAGAACTCTGTTTATAGGTCGGCCGATTACTGTTGTTGCATATCCACTCTGACAGATCACTTACGAGCAAACTAGTTAGGTAAGTTTAGCAAACAACATCGATTATAATTATCGGACCTGTTAATAACCTGTTCCGATATCATCTCGCCGGATAAATACTTCTCTGACCGAGTTTCCGTAATATGAAAACCCGATGCACTTTCTGGAAAAACACAAAGAGAACAAACACGTTGTATCTCAACGCCGCACAAAAATGTGTCGCCTTTGAATTATTTCATATCACTTCGGTTGACATTTTATTTTGTAGCTCCAGAGGTGTAACCTAATTTCGTTATAAAATTTTAAAATACCACCCACGGTCACATAAAGCATCGGACAAATTTTAATCAGACAACCAATTTGGAATTTAACAATTCTATTTAGATCGCAGCGGTCGTAAATATTGGGACCGAAAAGGTAAATAACCAATTTTTAATTACGCTGTTAGTTGTAAATAAATACGGCTAATTCAGTTTCTGTCGTTTGTCAGATATAAATCTAGAAGCGACTGATACATTAATAATTGTCAAAATTAAGTCCCGCTTGATAAATAACGAACAGATTAAAATGGCATTAGCTATGTAATTGCAGTTGCCGTTGATTGAAAGTCGAGATAATACGAAAAAGTAAAGAAAGAGCGGCTAGAAATTGAAGAAATATGAAAAAAAAAGTATAAAATAGTCTAAAGTCATTCATAGAATCGAGTGCAGCTGCAGAGTGAAAGTACAGTAAATCTGCTAACCCATGCCTTATTTGAAAATTGTGAAAATTGCAACATCTAAAAATAAAAAATGTTATAATTATTCTGTAATCTCGCTGTGGTTAGTATTGCGTATGAATACTACTTAAGTAGTGCAAGCAAGTTTGGTTATGCCAAATGCGGCTTATTTTTTCACTAAGAGGAGAGAAACACAAAATTGTTTCCATTAGTTCACTACATTGTTAAACTTTATAAATGCTGGTCATTTGTTTCGCTAGCAAGGTGAGCATCATCAGACTTAAAGAATTTCATAATCAATTTTAAAACTTAAACGTCTTGATAATGCCAACATTGTTACCGAAAACAATACATTTTTGACAAGTTTTCGAGATATTTCACTGTTGTGACAACATTAGATAATCACGTGAATTCTACAAAACGAAGATCAATTAGTTTTCTTGATTACGCCTTTTAACTTGTTAATTTAATGTCGTTATTAAGCTATTATTATTATTATCTTTAATGTCTGTCGTCTATCATGTTTACGTGCTAACACAAACAATTTAATTATTTGTTGAAACCAAAAATGCGAATATTTAATTTTGTCTCATGACTATTGTTAGTGAAGTATTAAACAGTGGCATTTTAAGTAAAACCTAAACAAATAATGTAAATTGTTGTTTGTTAAAGTTAAGCACTTTTAAAAATTATATAAAATTTTTAAGTATAATTTTTATCTTTAGTATGCAACTAATTAACTTACGATTGTTGATTATCTACCAATTTGCTCGAAATAATAGGTGCTTATAGTACGTACTTGTAATTAATAAACGCGCTCTAAATGAAAGTGATTTTGCTCGGCTATTAATTATTATATTTATCAAGCGTTCTTTATCTCAGACTTTAAACATGCTAACTTTTAATAGACTTTCGTTCGTTGCAAAACTAGTACCGATCTGTTCGCAATCATAAATTATTTTAGGAAAATATTATCGTCACTAATATTGCCACAGCACAGAAGAGCTCTTGTAATTACAATGTGACAAGAACTCTCCAGTCCCTGCGATAAACACTCCCAATCAAGGACGGATTAGTGCTCAAACACTACAAATTATTATTCCAGAGATTATCAACCCTATTAGCATTACAGTAATTAGCGCAAACCGGAAATGCAAATTTGTGGAATAATTAAAATTTTTCTTGATAAACTTCGGTTTAATTAAACATTATGTTTTGCTCGATTTTTAAGGCGAGACGTGGATTTATCGTCACGAAATCCGCCAGATGGCAGCAGGGTGAAATGTCGTCCCGGATACGTATATTCACGAAAGAGGTTAATTGTGGTACAATTTGATTTTCAACAATGTAATGTCTTGTGGTAGGGAAAAAGTTCCAATTTCGTGTAAGACCTACTAGAGAACATTTCCTGGAATGCACTCGCTTAGCAGCCATACAAGAACACACAATCGAGACACTACACAACACTTTACTAAAACTTCACAAAAAATGCAAACTTCCCTCCACCCTCCACCAGGTCGACACGGTTTTCAGAAAATACGTGCAAAGAAATGTTTACGTGGAAAATTCTAATCTGTTACTGTGCCAGACTACGAAATTTTAACAATTGAAACGTGGTCGTTACAGAGGTGGTTTTACATCAACAATTTCATTTTCAATTGCTACCAGATTAATTGATATACCATTGCATAGCCGATAATAACTTTCAGTGTCAACCATGTGACCATAAAATACTTATTGACATTTGTGGCAATAATAACTCACATTTATTTAAGAAACGAATTTAATGGTGTGGTACATTGGACCATGATGGGCGACTATAAAATAAATACTACAATCAACGAAGCGAATTTTAGAGCTAATCCATTAAATTCAGGCTCCCACTTTACCGTGTGATTATAAAATACTGACCACAAATAAAACGAATTCACATAGACACGATATTTAGTACTCAACATATGCAGATTGTTCGAGAAACCGAAAACATCACATTAATGAAAGTGAGCAAAATAATATATTATTATAAGGGACATAATTAAATTAAGTAGTTTTCACACTTGAGAAAAAAGCGTGTAACTAGAAATTTGGCATCTTGGTGGGACAAAAGAAACAAATACGGTATGGAAATAATTCTTTACAATTTGGCCCCATTACTAAACAGTATTTAAAATTCTAAATAATCAAATCGTTATGCGAAATTACCGGTCAAACTGAAAATAAACAGACGAAAGTAAAAGTGCTTCCTCGATGAAATCGAGCAAAACGTAAAAAAGTAACCGGAGCTTTCTCATCGGAAGAGTTGAACAAATTATTGACACGATAATGATAGTTTTCAAACGTAGCGTAATAGTTACGATTGAAACTGTTATTGTTTGACTCATCCAGTGACACTAACTCACTTTTACAAGTCAGTTTATCTGATAAACTCCATAAAATTCACAAATACTTTTTCTCTTGAAAAAATTTTATCTGGCGGGACAATAACAGTAGATATTTATGTTGTCGGTAGTGAGTCATCTGTTTCAACGTAATCTACTATTTACACGCCACTGATTTAGGCACGTGAGTGTTCTTGTTTCTGCGCTAAAGTGATCTGTCCCTCAATCGAAGGCAAATCGTCATAATCACATTATTACGGAACTCATTTTCAATTAGCTCCGAGTTTGATCGAAGTTCCTAAAAAAACGCTTATTGTCTGCTTAGATTAAATTCCGCTCGAAACAATCCGACTTTTGCTTCGTAATTGTCGAATAATCCCTCTTGTTTATGTGAAACTTTTGTCAGTCCCTTGTAAATTTTCGGCTCTCGACAAGAAGCAAAAGATCCACTTTTCGATTCAGCCACAATCAAACAATGAAACAAAAGTGAGCTCGCTTAATGGTATTTTCGTGTTCCATTATACTCTCCTTTCGTTACATATTCTTGACGTAATTGTCATCGAACGGAATTCGAAACGTTTAGCGCGCAGATGAATACAATAACAAAACAGATAAGCGGATTATCTCAACCATGAAGACCACCAAATCAATCAGATCGCCTCTCTTTATCCGACTTTACTCAAGTGTGACTTACCTTTTCGTACATACTCTGCGTCCTTCCTATACATCCTTTCTCCGGCACTAGATAATCATCGTCGTAGCGAATATCGTTCATCACATCGTAATCCACAAAACTTAAATCGTTATAACTAACACTAACGTCATTTTCGACTAAAGACTGCAAAGACTGTTTCCACTCTAATTCCTTCTCCTCGCTCAGTTTCTCCCTCGACCTGTCTTTCTTCCGTAAGTCCCGCACGCTCATCGACCTCTTGAGGAAATTCTTCGACTCCTCCCCGATCTTCTTGATCAGAGAAGTAGTCCGATGGAGCTTCGTCGGCTTCTGGTTGAGCTCCACCGCCGACGAGTACTTCTTGCTCAACCGCAACCCCGAGATCTTCGCGTGCGGGTCGAAATCGTCGTAGTTCTCCGGGTGCTGCTCGCTGTCCCCTTCCTTGCTCTTATTCTTCTTTAAAAAACTAAACGAGAGAGTCTTTCTCCTCCTTGAACTCTTCCTTTCGAGATTCGCCCCGATCAACGGGTTGACCGTCTCGCACACGCTGTTGTCGTTCTCGTCTACGAGACTCAACTTGCGCGGCTCGACGATGCCGTTGACCGGCGTCCGTCTGTCAACGGGCCGCTCATCGTTGATCAGCTCGTTGTCGACGATCGTCGTCCGTCTGTTGTGCTTCTTCAGCGAACGTTCGTCGGCCCGGATTTGTCGATCGCGCGGCATCACTTCACCTTGCACCAGACACACTGCTCGGTCGCAAATTTCGCGTATCAATTCCTCGACGAACGTTTCTACATCACTAACACGCGGCACGTTACTGCTCTCGTCTCGAGCGATTTTCGCATTATCGCTGATCGTTGATAGCCAATTTTTGGCGCATTTCGGGCTGCACTCGCCGTACACACCGCGGCAGGTCATGGAAGTTTCTTCCGACACCATTTTCTGATGTGTGGCATCGCTCGCTGCCGGCTGGAGACAGGTGTTTTAAGCTGGAATTGGAAAATTTTTCGCTCGGGTTGTAAATCGTGCGTGGCATCTTTATCTCGAATTATTTTAATAAACTGATAATGAGGAGATAAGGGTATTGTGTGTTGTTGGAGAGAGCAGTGTTTTGTTAATGAAAATTTCACGTTAAACCTGCTTCGGAGTGGTGAACACGAAACGAAGATTGGTTTATCTGGAGGGCAGTGATTGTGGCTGATTGAGTTGATTAGGGCTAACAGAATGTACTTTGGTCGCGATTATTTATAAATTATATATACTAAAGATAATTTAAAATAAGTGGGTTTTTTTTATTTGAAGGTCTACTATGCTGGATTTATTTATTTCCAATACGCAACTAACTTCGAATTTCAAGGTATTGATCGATTCTACGGGTAATACTGAATACAGATATCATAACTGTAATTTCACGACGGTCTGCTGTAGCTTGTATTTACTTAAATCGTGAATTTTAAATGCAGTGACAGTTATCTAATCGGTGAATACAAGATAATGTGAAAAAAAATCAGTGACAGTGAATCTTGTTGAAATTAAATATGTCAAGTTTTTATATTCTTCTGGAAAATATAGGTTGCAAAGATTATCACTGATATCTAACAATTGAAATTTGAAGTACCTTAAGCATAATATTGTTTTTAGGTTAGTAAGTAAACATACAGCAAATAATAAATTGTTAACGATTCAAGAGAAAACTTTGCTTGCTACCTTTACGTGCCTTCCAACAGATCGAAAAATTTTATCTTTATTTTATCGCGCATTAAAATTTACACAGTTAAGTGAAATATTGCAAAAGCGGATACAGCCATAAGTACGGAGGGGAAAATATAACCAGTTATTTATAGTTTTCATACTGTACTAGACGTGAGTAGTAAACAAGACTTTACTTGTGAGAGGTTATAAAAATCCAGAAAAAGTATTGAAGATATAGTGAAAATATCAATATTATACACGAAGATTTTACTGATGTTTAAATATAGTTTGCGTTTTATATGTGTTTTATTACAACTATGACTGCTTTAGTTCCACGTTTCGCAGCGGCGCCGCGGTCCGCACAAGTGTGTAAATCAGGCAACCAATGGGAAAATATTCTCCATTTCTCAGTACATGCTTAACTTCGATTGTTTATGTTTTTACTTCAAAAGAATTCAACTATCCGAATGTCATGGTAAAAAGTCAACACAGATTCGTAAATCACACATACGTAAGCATGTTGTTTTTTTCAATTTAAAGAACATTTATTCAACAAAATTGTAAGATGACTTGATCATTTTTTGGGGAGGCCATAAACGAATAAATTTTGTTTAATGATTTATTAATGACAGAATTGTAAAATGACGTCATTATTTTAGGAGGGGACGTAGCGATTTACCATGTTACGATAACTTTGAAACCTTTGAAAGATTATAGAACTTTCAATTGAATTTCAAAGTTAAATTGTAAAATTTTGTTGTGCGATTTTGATTTTTTTCCCAAAATGTGAATGTCCAGAGTAAAAACCCAACACAGATATATAAAAGTGTAGGAGTACCTAATTTCATAAAATTTAAGTAATATTTACCAGTGTAAATTTTTGAGAAGACGTCATCCTATTGTTGGTGGGGATGATTCGCCAAATTTTGATAAGCGTTTTACTACTACATATCAACATAATATTTATAATACATCTACAAAATTTGATAATAATGGATCCAAAGTTTCGGAGATTATCTATGTAATAAGAATTCGACAAACGACAGATAGACAGACAGACAGACGTACGGAAACGAGAAACCTATTTTTCGTACTCTTAAGCAATAAAACGTCGAGAAAACTTGAAAGTAGCCAGTTACCCGATGGACTTACGCTCGGGAAGTAAAAATGGTTTTATTTAAAAACCTGCAGCTTCGCCATATTTAAAAATACACAAGAGATTGTGAATTTTTAATATTTTTACATAGGAATCCAAGTATTTTGAAAACTGTCGTTGACTTTTTTAATTTTTTACAATAAAACAAAATCTGTAAAAACATATACACTGTCATTTAAAACATTACAAATCTGGTGTGTAACTGTTAAACGGAACTTTTATATCACGTATTTCTTTTATTTGATACAGCCCCCGTTTTTTTTTTTATTTTTAACATATAGTTCTTTGACCAAATTTGCATCATTTTGAAAGATCACGTCTTCTATTCGTCTATTTTATTGAATAATAAGTATCGATTTTAGAATACTGATTGTGTTTGAGTTTTTACAAAAAATAAATCTTTCCACTTATGAAAAAATATACCAAGTGTTCTATTAAAAAAAAGATTGATGTCATTTCCGGTTCTACCAGAAGTGATAATAAAAATGTGGGGTTGCCATCACACACATCTTTTAAAATGATACAAATTTCCTCAAAGAACTAGAGGTTTATCTTTAAGAATAAAAAAGTTACAGGGGTTGTATCAAATAAAAGAAACACCCTTTATATTTGGAAACAATGCTAAATTCTAGCCCTCAATTGCATTGCGTTGAAAAAATCCCTAGAGTCCTCAGTAAGTTCGCAAACTTGTGGGACATCCTGTATATTGCTTGCTATGGAAATAGTCTCTAGATGTGTGGAATCTTCTACTGAATGGAATGTAAACTTATTATACATAAAAAATATGTGTCAACTTATTTCAAGGTATTATTTTGTGCGTTTGTTTGTGTGTTTATTTGGTTCATTTTGTTGGATAAATGTAGATACTAAACGAACAAATTAACACGTTCATTATACATTTTTTTACACCATTCCAAGTCCAAAAAATTAGCAATTCAATTAAAAACTCATAGCTAACTCACACAGTGATGAACTGCTTATCATTTATGCTGTTTATGTTGTGTAATATTTTCACTCGTTTATTGAAGATACTCTGAAATAAAGTCAAACGAAAAATCAACCTACAATAAACTTAAAATTCGATGACTTTCACAAAAAAATACAAAATATTTAATTAATTTTACTTTGTGTTTCCTGTCAACTGATTCATCAAAATTATTTCAAAACCACTACCAATATAAAAAGAAATTGGACGATAACCAAACAAAACAAAGTCTATTTAAAGACATCGAACACTTACGGCTTCCGGTTTCACCGGAAATGAAAACAATTTTGTTTTTAAATCGTATTACTTTTTTCCAACTTTGAAAATATTATTGCTTCGTCACCGCAACATAAATTTCAGAATAAGTTACATACTAAAATATCCATTATTAAACCAACAAAATATAACATCATACGTATAAATATATAAATAAATAAACAAGTGTAGTTTAACCTAATTTTCCTGTACATTAAAATTATTTTTGAACCATTATATAAAGGAAACCAATATAGTTATATAATTCAAAGTTTTCGTGAAACTCTTTTATATTATTATGTAAAATAGCAGTATTGGGGGAATGAATGAATAATTTTGACAAATTTGATAGTCAGATTTATCATCGAAAATTCTATTACGTCACGTCAGGAGGAGCTTCTTCGTCAAGAGCATAATCACCCGAGTTTAAAAAAATCTGTCACTCGAATGGTTAAGAGTTTTTCAGATGGATTGCTATTTATATTTTGAATAGAGCGTAGAGTGCGATTTTCGCAGTTTCCCCGCTTTCACTACTAACCAAATCGATTCAATAAAACGTCGGATAATAACAATTTCTCTTGATTTATGAAACTGCATTGTGAAGTTACATCTGGCTCCTTTCGAATGCATAATAGAACCGATATTATTAAATATCACTTGCTTAATACAAAAACTGCACAGAGAAACTCGTTAGTTTATTCTCTCCAATTCAATTGAAACTGTCATACTCATCTAATGTTTCGCGGTCAAGACAAAAATAATAACCAGTAATTAAGTAAATACCGCCTTACTTATAAAAGGAACTTTAATTCCCGTCCTTGGACAATCGAACGATCTGAATTGCTCGTTCACAAAAACCACTTCCACCATGAAAGTGCGACTTTTGCTTAGGCGACAGTTTACTTCCTGATACCCCGAATGTAAAACCTGTACTTTTGCGCGATTTATCAATTTTATTGAGTAGGAAAGTTTCCAGGCGTGAAATATGATGCACAGTCGGAGTTCGCATATTTGGGGAGGTTTGAGGCGGTCACAACACCACGATCAATTCCCCAGTTATTTTTGTAAATGAATGGGACTTCGATCGCATGTTTCGCGATTATTATCGGCTGTCTGATCGAGTGAAACTTCCGAGAGTTGGAGAATGTGGAAGAGAAAACAAATTTTCTTTTAGACTTCTTGCCTAGTTTGAAACTTTTATTATGATCCTCTTTAAGGCGAGGCTTTTAAAGTCTTATGATTTGGGGTGGTTAGGGTTTTTATCTCGCGGAAATTTTTAATAAAACGGGCATCACTTCCGTTTTTTAACGAGTAAAACCTGTGGCGGTTCTTGGAGCACATTTTGCAGACTTCGTGGTGTGCAAACTGGTTGACTCAAAAAAAGAACTAGATTTGGCTGATTCAAAACATGTTTTGATACTGACTACAAGTTATTTGTTCGGATCAATATGTGCATCTACAATGCATTATTCCTTCCCGGACGCCTGTCTTTCACGTTACCCCAAAATTTACGCCAACAACAAAACTTTAAACACATGCAAATGCAAATTCGGCTAACACTCCACAAAACAAAACCTTCTCTGTAACACATTATAATTTCAAATTATATCCTCAACTTTACCCCATTTCATAAACCGCCGGCGAACCGCGCAATAAAACCGAAAAAAAGTTATATATTTCGATTAACCACCTCGCTAGTTCTGCAATCCACTTTGTTTCCGTCCAAAGTGTCGCTAAAAGCATATTGTGAAACTACAAACGGTTAAAATGCACAGCATTTTGATTTGCGAGTGCCATCGAATAAATCCCGACGATAAATATAAAGCGACAAACTCAAAACACGTTTCAAATTTATTTGTTTTGAAGTTGTGATATGTTTACGAAGTTTCGAAACAGTTTGGTCGAAATGCAAATCTGTCCAATTACGTCGATGCAGTTATGATCGATGAGGCGGATTCCAGAGGGATTAAAACAAAAATGTCGAAAGTCAAGAGGTGGCTCTGCAGTTATTTGCGAGTGATTTATTTTGGTACGCTGGGATTAATAAATTGTTGTCTTAATGCGACGATTTGATTAAATACAGTTTTATGACAATTAAAACGGCCGAAAAGAGGAAACTGTATAAATTTAAACTATACCGTCACGTTATCAAAATAAACGAGGTATACCCGTATGTTTCTGTAATCAGTAAACGTAACCGTGGATTTTAAATTAGTTAAAAATAATTTTCAAATAAAATGAAAAATATGTATTGAAATTATTGGTCTATAGTTCATGCTCTAGCTAACCCTATTAAAAACGTGACGTGATAATGATAAAGGCATATTGTGTACGAAAACATTACTCTATGACAACCCACGTGCTCACACTTACGGTTATTTTAACTCAAATTAGCTAAAAACTTAAGGAAAAACGCTAAAGATTCGTTTGACTATGGTACTAAGCAGGCCACCAAGATACTGATTTTTTTAATTATGTATTTTAATTAATGAGGTACTGAACTTCAACACCGAAGAATTTTTGAGCAGGTACATACATTGTTAGTGTGAAGGAACCCACCATCATAAATCAGTAGACAATACGTTTTTACCACATTTATCTACTTGAAGGTCGCGTTATTAATTCCGACTATTATGTATGCAGTTTCGACTCACTTTATTAGGGGTCGTAATTCGAAAATTTCTCGAATTATGAATAATTTTTTTATTTGACGACTGAATAATACGCATGATAATAAAAATGAGATCTTTCGCTCTCGATGAATTACATCTTTCCCACAGGTTTTCGTATTTGGTAGAATTTATTACAGGGTCTTAATTCGTCTGGGAACATTTTAATTACAGTCACAAGTACGTTTTATTTTGTGCGCTACTTCGCTGTTTTATTTGAATTAGTTAATTGTGGATAACTTTGGCTTACGAAGCTATGTGTAACAAATGTATGTAAATAAAAAGTCAATAACCTAATTATTATTATTATTGTTATTAATAAAAAAATACCGATTGTACAGATAAAACAGATCAGCTTATTACGAAAAAAAAGTAAGGAAACTTCCTGTTTGTAGATTATTATTATTCTTGATCAGTTGCATTCAGAAAATTTTGTTATTAGCAGAATATGTACAAGGTAACACTAATTTTAACGTTCTTTATGAAACTAAACAAGAAATGTATCTATAAAACTCATACTTACGTTAATACGTATGAAATTAATTTAAAAAATTTTAATTTAATTGAAAACATCACGCTTAAACCATTAAAAGAGGGGTGGAGCGTCCAACCACAACAGTGTATTAATTTTGATACGCACGGTGTAACACTATAACAACAGTACTGTATTTATGGAATATTAAAAACTAAGTTGAAACGCTTTTAGAATAATCAATAAAATTAACTGATTTGTCAATATTTTTGAGACATACTGTATACATATGTTGAAATAACAATAGTCCGTTACTTAGGTGCTAAGACAAATAATAAAATGTTATTCTATAAATTTTATTTATTTTTAATTCCCAAGCGTAAGCTAAGGAAGTATGTCATCAAGTCCATCGAGCGACTGGCTACTTTTATGTTTTCTCGACGTTTCATGACCCGTAGAGTGCGAAAACATACGTCGTAATTTTGTATATCGTGCAAATGGTAAAACGCTAACCAAAATTTGTATAATCACTCCCACCATCAATGATATGAAGTGATTTCCAACTTTTACAATAATATAAGTAGGCTGATTTTTGTTATTCTTTAATCTTCCACTGTTATCCATTAGATGATTTTATCCTATATTTTTTAAGAGAAAATTTTACATAAAAATTTATGATCAACTATGTTAAAATTTGATCTTGGAACGTTTATTTAAAATAATAAGATATATTGCTTTGTTCTCCAACCTAATTATACAACAGAAACCCAGTTTTAAACGCCAAAATGTGTTTTCTTTTTTTTCTAAATGATTACAATTTATGAAATTTTACGACGAAATCTTTACACAAATGTTAACTAAAGTACTAAAATAGGTCCTTGTATAATATAATGATATATAAATAAATATTAGGAAGTCAACTGCCAAGTGGTATTAACGTCGTTCGAAAAATATTGAACATGCAAAAGACTCAAAACGAACCCTCAAATGTGCCAGACAGACTTTGAGTTTTAACTGAATTAAAAATAACACACTCCTCCACTTGTAGTTTATGAATCCGCGTTGAATTTCTACTATAGAAGTCGAGATTTTTTCATGTTTTGCATTTTTTTTTAATACACATAGCCTTCTCTTCACAACAAGAAAGTGAAAACATGTTTAAAATGGTAAATTTTTTCCCCACAATTCTCTAAAAATTTACCATTTTTAAGCATATTTTTTGTTTCTTGTCATGAAAAGAAAACTACGTACATATATTAAGAAAAAAAAGCAAATTACGAATCCCGCTCACCCGCCTTCATCTCAATTGTGACTTCTTTTATTCGCCGTGAGCCGAGGGGCGGAGCTTAATTACAAAATGCTTATTTCTCTACAAGAATCTACCATGTAAAACATGTTTTTAAGTATCATGTTGTTGAAAGAAAACTATACATCTCAAGGAAAAAAACTCAAAAAATAAAAATGTGATGAATTTTTCATTCGTTGTCAGAGCGAGGGGCGGAGCTTAATTGTATAATTAATATTTCCCAACAAAAATTTACCATTTTCAGTATGTTTTTAAATATCTTGTGATTAGAAAATTATGATCTACAAAAAAAAAAGGGCTACACTTAAGCCCCGCTCCTCCTGGCTCACAACAAATAAGGAAAAATCGTAACAATTGAGATAGGGCGGGTGGGTGGGGCTTATATTTTGCATTTTCTTTCTAATACACATAGTTTTCTCTTCATAACAAAAAACTGAAAACATGTTTAAAATGGTAAATTTTATCCTGCACACTTCTCTAAAAATTTACCATATTTAAGTATATTTTTTGTTTCTTTTCATGAAAGAAAACTACGTACATATATGTTGTTGAAAGAAAACTATATATGTCAAGAAAAAAAATAAAAAAATAAGCCCCCCCCCCCTTCCCCCTCCCTAACTTCAAATGTGATGAATTTTTCATTCGTTGTCAGAGCGAGGGGCGGAACTTAATTGCAAAATCAAGATTTCTCCACTAAAATTTACCATTTTGATTTTGTGCTTATTTGAAATATGTTTCCTCAAATAACAGATTTTTTTACATATTTTTGGCAATTTCACCATTTTTAACGATAAAAAAATTACTGAAATCGATTCAAACTGGGTCAAATCAGTCCAGAAAAGTGCCTATCTCAAATCTCTTCAAGATTATGAATCTGTGTTAGTTTCAAAGATATTTTCTCCAATAATAATGGAACAAAAAAAATCAAAATATTATTATCATTTTACAACTTCACTTTGAAATTGCAAAACCCAATGCTTGCAAACGTTTTAAAGTTATCGGAAACATGGTCAATCGTTAATCAAAATTTATCCGTTTACGATCCCCCTAAAAACCGATGACATGTCAAAATTTTGCCAAATAAATCCTATCTAAAATGTGCAAAATATGATATATCCAGACTTGTGATTTATCATTCCATTCACATTTTTTATTATTGCTTACACAGGGTGACTCAAAAAAATTAATGAATCGGTCAATTTATTTCATTGTTTAAATCAGAAACCGCAAAACCGAATGCTCTGAAATCTTGTAGACGTTTTAAAGTTATCGTAAGCACGGTAAATTTGTAATCAAAATATAATTATATGTGTTCCCTCCAAAAAAATGATGACGTCAGCTTAAAAAAAAAGCAAAAGTAAAAACAACATAGATGGAAAGAATATCAGATTTATTTCTAATTTAAAATAATAAATTAGCGTTGGTTAGCGTTTTATTTTCTTAATGTTCAGTTGTTTATTTTTTGCATCTGTAGGTTCCGTTGTAGCTTTGCGTTAATTTTTTTTTTTTGACATATTTGGTAAAATTTTTCGTGTTCAGCTATTTTTTAATTTTAGTAGCACAATTTTCTTCTCTAAAAAATTGTTGTTTAGTACGTATTTTTAACACTCGTTTCACACAGAGCTAAATTTAGGGCAAGTGCACCTCGTATCATTGAAACAGGAACTCTGCCTTTCCGTTCTAAATTTAAACCAAGAATTTTGAAGATATTTCTTTTTCTAATTAACGATGTTTTATGCATATTAATTGTTACAAATTTTAAATTTCTTGTGTCGAATCGTCCTAAAACGTCACAAACATGCATGTAGATTGTTTAACATGCCATTGAATCAGGCTTTTATATCAATAACCTATCTCACGAACTTGGAAACATACAGACTGAGTTTTTTTCTGGACTTCATGCGATCTTTACTAATTGGTGCTAACCACGCCAGCAACGAAAGGAAACTCTGCTTTTCAAGCAAAACAAAATAGCGACATTTGTTCCCACGCTCTGTCTTTCTTATTTTCTCGTTATCGGATATGCAAAACCACGAATTTTTTCTCATAGCGAGCGATTTCTACTGACACAGATCCAGCCGGGATCGAGTGTTTTCAGCACGTTTTCACGAAAGTTGCGATGTCATTGGCGACAGGTTACAAAAATAAAGCGTTAATAACGTCTAGTTTTATGAAGGAAAACGTAAATAGCCTAAGGTCGGCGCCAATAATCGAAAAAATCCAGACGAAATTAGACCGTTCCAGAGCGCCCGCTGCCCAGGCCGCCACAATTCACCATTTAAGGAAATCCTCCCCCAGAAACCGCCACTTCTCGTTTCGTTTCGCCCCCAACAAAACACTGCCCACTAGCCCATCACCCACCCATCACGTCGGCCGCTGGCCCCACGCCGGCCCAAAACGGCACCACCGGACACCCGCGAACATCACACAACACGCACAAACACCGACGAACACTCGCAAAAGCGCGGAAAGTCAAAAATGCGCGACGTCCGACTAGAACTTCTTTCGTTTGCCATGTGATGGTGCAAAAACGCGTTTGTACCATGTGATAGAAAAAGGTGGGATATCGCGTACCTGCACCGCTTCCACTGGAACTATCGCTAGAATTAGCTGCACAAACGCTCAAAATAAAATTATTCTCAATTACACGTAACGATAAGGGAAGTAGATCCAGACCGCAATTACGTTCCTTTCGTACGACTTCGTAATTACAACTGCTATCTGACGGACTGTTGTGATCGGTTTTTTTTTAAGCGCGATCTTAATCTGACCCGATAAATGCCGCATTCCGTTGGATTTCGGCTTTTTATTGCGTGCAGCGGCTTATTTGCAGGAAAACTGATAAGGCATTTGTACGTAACTTAAATGGGGCGATGGCCTTGCGAGGCCCAAAAACGTGGGCAAAAACGTAGGGAAGTGGTGGGTACGTGGAAGGCTGCACTCGGAGAGTAAATATTTTAACAATGCTCGTGCAGTCGATTTCTGGTTGTGATTTTTAGAAAGTTATTAATGGCTATTGTAATAACGATAGCGAGTTTTATTGCTGCTGCAGCGCAGTGGCGTAACACCGTGGGGGACGGTGGTATACTTTAATTAATGAAAGTTGGGAATTGGGTCAAAATCGTTGTCACAGTAATTATAAAGTTGGATACGTAATGTGAGGAATATTAACCCAAGTAGTAAATATGATGCATGTTAAAGCGTAAAAGCTAATGCACTGTGATGAAACGAAGCAATAAATTCATTTCTGTAATTGTTAAGGAAAAAATGGTTGTGTTTTTAATATCTGCGGTTAGAGTGTTTTGCAAATGATGTTATTTAATATCTTTGCTACTTCATTTGAATTAGAAATTACAAAATATTTGCAATTAAAACGAGGTGTGTAGAGAACATTGCAACACACGTGGAAAATTAGTATAAAAATAACGGTCATAACTGTTTTCATTATTGTTATTTTGAGTGAAATGCCCCACTTTTGTGTCATATCACTGTATTACAAAATTGCAGTCTTTAAAAACGATAAATCTTGCAAGACGTTATCACGCACGGATTATGAATTTTTTTTAGTTAACCTTTATGTACGAAATTTTAATTGTATCCAAGGGTGCAACGAACCTAACAAGATCTCCAATTGTGAAAATGGAAGCCTCTTTTTTACTAGAATGAATCAGTTTTTAAAAATGCACTCGTTTCCTGCTCTTGATTGGTAACAGATACGCCACTGATATTGACCGGTTTCACATTATGTCTTCTACTTGCTGTTTAAGCAAAAGAATTCTGCTCTCGTTTGCAATAATGAATCAAGTTCGTTTGTTATCTAAACTTACTTATTAGAATTATTATTGGTCACGTTAATAATTTTGTGAAACTATAAAGTCGATAAAAAGTTGTTGTTCAGTCCGCTTCAGTTAACATAAAAATGTTAATTAAAGTGACTTCTCGGTATTTATTAAAATTGTTGTATTTCCCGACGGGGAAGTTATAATAAGACAGGTCGTGATCTTTATTTTATTTTCGTTTTGACGTAATCAGAATTCTCGCAAGTTACCTTTCACGTATTTTCTGTACACTTGTACAGTACTGAACAACCTGTTAAAGGAAATTCCCAAGCCTCTGAAACGTTAAAAATAGTGGATGTATATCATTAAATATGTCTTTAAACTTGTATTTTGGAATGACGTCATCAATTCGTTGGCAGAGACAAAAAAATTTCAAGAAAGTTAGATGAATCAAGATACCGCTACAATCAATTTTGACGTTTTTTTTTTAGACATCCTATATAATCTTGAAAAAAGAAACATTGTAATGGAATCCGTACGTCAAACTACCAATTTAATGTTTTCTCATTATTTCATAACCTAAAGACTGTCAAGAGTATGAAAAAGTAGGTCTCCCATTTCCATAAGTCTGTCATCTGTTCTGTGTCGCTTATCTGTGATACGTAGGTCTGTTGACATTTTTATTTGTCAGATTATCTCCGAAACTACTACTAATTGTTGTGCAATTTTAAATCTGTTTTAGAAATATCGTGAGGATGCTAAAACACTAACAAAATTTGTCTCATCATCCTCAACCACAATTTGATGACGTCACGTCAATATTTTTTGAAATAACTTCTACGTAAATTTTATAAAATAGCGCACATTTATAATTGTGGTTCATGAATCCGTCTTATTTTTTACGTTAGATGTCCAGATTTCAAAAAGAAGTCAAAATTATACAATAACGTTGTATGATTTAACTTACAAACTGCAACACCGAATGTCCTGAAATCTTGTAAATGTTTTAAAGTGATACTGAAAAATTTTGGTTTTCGAAAAAGTTCTGTAAAAATCCTCAGACACTTCTAGAATATAAATTTCGACATGCTGATTCGAAAAATATAACGTTTTTATGGTCCCGGAGCAAGATTTTAGAAATATTCGAATCGAACTGCAAAAAACCTGTCATGATTCAAAAAGCGATTCTGGAAAATGGTAATAATTACCGAAGAAATGACTCCAAAAGTAACTTCTAAAGGTCGAAATGTACAAGAAAATGTCTTTGATTAAGTCTCGAAGGTGGTCGAAAAGGTACGAAATTTTCATAAGAGAAAAAAAATTTGGCATTGAAAACCTTGTCTAAAAATTCAATGCTTATTTTAAAAATATAAGCCTTTTTATGGTTAAGGGTCAAAATGTTAGAAATATTCAATTTGAAACGCAATTTTTTTATCCTAAAAAAAAACTCATATCAATGGACGCCTCTGGAAATATGGTACGATTGGTACGAGAAGAAATGAGGCCGAAAGAAATTTCTGGATGTCGAAATTTACAAGAAAATATATTTAGTTAAGTATGGAAAGTGGTCAAAAGTTTTCAAAATTTTCAAGTATTGAAAAATTTTGGTTTTGAAAACGTTCTCTAAGACTCCTCAAAAAATCTGGAATTAGATTTCAACGTGCTAATGTCAAAAATATAGCGTTCTTATTGTTGTTGAGCAAGATTTTAGAAATAGTGGGTTTGAAATGCATTTTTTTTATAAATCCAATCCAAAAAAACTGTCACATTTCAATGCAAAATTCGCTGGAAAAATCGTGGGAGGTACCGAACAAATGACGCCAAAAGTAACTTCTAAAGGTCGAAATTTACAAGAAAATGTCTTTGGTTAAGTTTCAACGGTTGTCGAAAAGTTCCAAAATTTTCAAAGGAGAAAAAAATTTTGGCTTTGAAAAACTTGTCTAAATTGAAATTTGATTCGAAAAATATAGCGTTTGTATGGTTCAGGAGTAATATTTTGGAAATATTTGGTTTGAAATGCATTTTTTTTTTAATCCAATCCAAAAAATTATCACATTTCCAAGAGCGATTCTGGAAAAATGGTAGGAGTTATCGAAGAAATAAGGCCGAAAGTAACTTCTGGAGGTCGAAATGAAAATGTATTTGGTTTCGAAGGTGGTCGAGAAATTCCGAAATTTTCATAAGAAAGAAATTTTCCTTCGAGGAAATCTTGTCTAAAAATCCCATGTTTTTTTACCCAACAAAAATTAGAAATGAGGCTGAAACAAATTTTTGGGGTCGAATTAGTTAAATAAAATATCGATGGTGGTTGAAAATTTTCAAGTATTAAAGAGTCTTAGTTTGAGAAAATTGTCTAAAACTCCCCAAAACAATCTGGAATATAGGTTTCGATGTGCTGATACCAAAAATATAGCGTTTTTATGGTTCCTGGGTAAGATTTTAGAAATATTTGGTTTGAAGTGCATTTTTTTCAAATCCTATCCAAAAAACTGTCATATTTCAATGGGTGATTCTGGAAAAACGGCAGAAGTTATCGGAGAAATGAGGACGAAAGTAACTTCTGTTGGTCGAAATGTGCACCAAAATATCTTTGGTTTAGTTTCAAAAGGAGTCGAAAAATTCGAAATTTTCATAAAAGAAGAATTTTGGTTTTGAAAAACTTGTCTAAAAATCCTCAAAAAATTCTGGGATATAGATTTCGACGTGTTGATTCCAAAAATGTAGCATTTTTATGATCCAGGAGCATTATTTTAAAAATATTCGATTTAAAATGCAATTTGAAACAAATCCAAAAAACCTGCATTATTTCAATAGCCGATTCTGGAAAAATGGTACACGTTATCGAAGAAATGAGGCCGAAATGTGCAAGAAAATATACTTGGCTAAGTTTCGAAGGTGGTCAAAAAATTCTGAAATTTTCATCAGAGAAAAAAATTTTGATTTTGAAAAACTTGTCTAAAATACAATTCCTTTTTGTCCAAGAAACTGTGTTATTTCAATGGACGATTCTAGAAAATGGTAAGAGCTATAGCAGATATGAGACTCAAAGGAACTTCTGGAGGTTGAATTTGTTAAATATCGAAGTCAGTCAAAAATTTTTAATATTTTCAAGTATTGGAAAATTTTGGATTGAGAAAATTGTCTAAAACTCCGCAAAACAATCTAGAATATAGATTTCAACGTGCTGATGCCAAAAATATAGGGCTTTTCGAGAGCAAGACTACAAATATTCGCTTTGAAGTGCTTTTTTTTTAAATCCTATCGAAAAAACTGTCACATTTTAATGGGTGATTAGGAAAAACGGTAGGAAAAATGAGGCCGAAAGAAGCTTTTGTATGCCGAAATGTGCAAGAAAATGGCTTTGGTTAAGTTTCGACGGTGATCGAAAAATTCCGAAATTTTCATAAGAGAAAAATTTTGGTTTTGAAAAACTTGTCAAAAAAAATCCTCAAAAAATCTGGAATATAGATTTCGACGTGTTGATTAGAAAAATATAGCTTCTTTATGATCCAGGAGCAATATTTTAGAAATATTCAATTTGAAATGCAATTTAAAAAAAATCCGAAAACCCGTCATATTTCAATAGGCGGTTCTGGAAAAATAGTAGACGTTATCAAAAAAATGAGGTCGAAAGAAACTTCGGGAGGTCGAAATGTCGAAGAAAATGTATTTAGTCAAGTTTCGAAGATGGTGGAAAATTTTCAAAATTTTTAAGTATTAAAATATCTTGGTTTTGAAAAAGTTGTCTAAAAATCATCTGGATTCTGGAATACAGATCTGGACGTGCTCATTCCAAAAATATAGCTTTTTGTGGTCCCAGGGCAAGATTTTAGAAATATTCGGTTTGAAATGCAGTTAAATAATCCAAAAAACCTGGCATATTTCAATTAGCGATTCTGGAAAAATTTTGGTAATTAACGAAGGAGTGAGGTCGACAGGAACTTCCGAAGTTCAAAATATACAAGAAAATGTATTTAGTTAGGTTCCGAAGGTGGTCGAAAATTTTCAAAATTTTCTAGTACTGAAAAATTTTGGTTTTG